GACGAAAACCAACATTTGTAATAATCGATACGTAGAAACTCGAGGCAAAAAATGTGTAAGACAATAAATGAGTTAATTCAGCGAAAACGCTTTCTTGAGCATTTCGCAAAGTTGACTTCGGGCAATATTGAGTTATATTAGAATACATAAGTTGAGTTGCAAATGGTATATATGTTATTAAAACAACGAATGACTGCAACATCAGCATCAATGTCAGCCGAGAATCCATCAGTTGAAGTGCTGATCTCTGTGTTAAGTTTGCTGGTGTTCCATTACTAGTGGGAGCAATCTGTCTTTGAGAAACGCCACGCACATTTTGTATCAATAAGTAAGCAAGTATAATCATCACGGTTGGTGGACATATTGCTTTGAAAAATATTTCATTGTACGCATCGAAATAGGCATAGAATCCTGGTAGAGGAATGCATGCTCCTTTGGTAGCACTATATAGAATCAATCGATGACCGAAAACTAATAGCCAAACGAACGCACATATCAAACAGATTTTGAGAGCCAGATCAGCACGATTACTCCACTGGCGATATTCTAAAATTATAAGAAAAAAATGATAGTAGTTTACTAAGTGTACCGAGCGAAAGGTAATGGCTAATATTCATTTTGTTTAAAAATAGATACAAAACAATTTAAGGCGCAAGAGAATGACTGTGCATAGTCACCTTAGAAGAAAATATGAAATCTGCGACAAAATTTTAGTCGGATATGATGAGGTAACATCACTTCCGGTACTCCATTTCTTACGGCATATTTAAAAAAGTACTTCAGTCTCTATTGCTATGTTGAGATTAATTGAAATTTAATTAGAAGAGCTATGTTTTCCATCGACGAAACTATTGACAAGAGAAGCAACGCTGTTTTCTTAGCTTTTCTACTTTTCTAATTTGCACATAAAGCGGAGTAGAAAGAAAAAAGTGCAAACTTGTAGTCGCCGCAACAATGTTCAAGGCGTAAAATCATGAATAGATAACCCTAGTCTCAATCCTTGCCATTCCTTGAGAAATCCTGGGAGGATCTTATCAAGTTTTATTCAGGGTCCTGTTTCAAATCCTAACAATTCCTGTATTCAAGATATTTCACGATGAAACGGGATCCTGTTCAGGATTTCTTCAAGTTTCTGTGCAGATTATACTCTAAAATCAGAATTCAGGATCCTATCAGGATTTACAGAAGATCGAATACAGGATACTCTCAAGATTATGAAGGAAGATTCTGCCAAGATTTTATTTAGTTCTCTTGAAGATGTAGAATCAAATCTTCGTATCAGGATCCTTTGAGGAATGATGTTCGCATCAGACCAGAATTTTAGCAAGAAATTAACAGGATTATTCGGAATACGAAGCTGGCTAATGCTGGAAAGCTTCAGCCAGGATCTTGTTAAGAAAATATAAGGCTTTAGTAAAGATCTTTTCAAGTTGCTGTTGAGTCCACCCAGCCGTATTCACTTCTTCAGAAAGCCTGATGGATATTTCCGGATCATACATGTCAAGAATCAGATCAAGTTTTATTCAGGGTTGCATTTCGGACGTGCTGAAGTTTTTGCTCGGATTCTTTTGCCAATCAACTTTATTGGATCCTATTAATATTCATCGTGATTTATATCCAGAAATGGGACAAAAATCATAGCGAGGATTTTGCCAAGAGTTATCGTTATATAAGAGAAGGGTCATTGCAGGAATAAAACAAGACTAGTCAAAGTTCTGAACTAAGAGTGTCCGGTGAACTTCGACCAGGATTCTGAGCGGAGATGGCCAAGAATATACGCTTTGAATACTTTAAAAAATTATAAGTATGATCAGGATCTTGATAAGAAACATACAGAACCAAGTTAAGATCCTTTCAGGTTAATGTTTAGAGACTATTCAAAATTTTATCGCAGCATCCTGCTAGGAACTAAACAAGAATAAAAGAGACAGCTTTCTTTTGTTTTCAGCTAGGTGTAGATCAGAATCTGTTAAAGATTTCAAAATAGATAGAAAAGTTTCAAAATCAGTGTGAAGTAAAGCCTCAACAACAATAAAAAGAAAGATTTTTCAAGATCTAATCAATCATGTTGCTGTTCGAAACACGAAAACTTTCTATGACCGAATAATCTACTGGTATTTTTATCTGCAAATTTGTTTGATTCTTTTCATAAAAATAAACAACAAATCTTAATATGCTTAGAGTCTTTCTTAATCTCTTTACAGTGTATATAAATGTGGGTGTGAGACTCAGGCAAGAGCAATAGATTTTTTGCTTAATTTTATCTACACACGTGAGAGTCATTCAATTATATGCTAATATGAATCTAGCTATCTTAACTGGTTTTCATTAACTAGATAGTTTTTGTCAATACAAAATCCTTTGATTACAATTACTTATAATTTTAATTCTGTAGAAGAAACACTTTTAAAATATTTTTCCCATAGAAGCGGAATTTTCAAAAAAAATTAATTTCACCAACTAAGATAAATGTGAACAATGATATCTCATTTCCAGAATTTTTTGAGGGAATCGGTACTCATAGAAAATTTAAGTAGAAGTTTAGTAAAGTTAGAAATTAAGAAATTCTAAGTTAAAGCGATATAGAATGGCATGGGACATCCAGCTCGGTAAGCGGATCAGTATGCAAACTGAACGTCTAGAGATCGATACTCTATGTGTACATTTATTGTCTGTTCTATTTAGAAAAACCTGCCAAGATCCTGCCAAGAAATTGTTCATATCTGAAAGGGAACTTAGCTCAATCCTAGAAAGATCCTGTCAAGATATTCGATAATATCTTCGAGGAAAACTAGCAAAAATTCTGACAATTAGTGGCCATACATACGCTTCTTTCAGGAATCAGAGGTTTCCTTAGGATAAAACTGCGAATCCTTGGAGGATCCTGACCAGATTTAGAAAGTATCTGGTTGAAAAACGTCAAAGATTTTGACTAGGGGAACTTCTACTAAAGTGGCTTTGCCTGAATTTAATGATGTAAAAGCAAAGGATTATTATTGATATCATGTTCCACCGTCGAATCTAAGTAATTAAATCTATATGTATAATCAATGAAGAATATCAACTTAAATAATTTAATCTATAATCGTCGTATTTTATTGCTAATACTCTATGAAATCCTATAGTGGTCCGAGATGTTATTAATGAATTTATTTTTAAATTCTACTTACTATTTGAACGTTGTGTAGATAAAAGCCGATCGATTGTTGCAAATGCGAAAAAACTGAATGACACTTGATTACTCCAGTCGGTTAAAAATACTCGAAGTTTACATAGGACATCATAACGTGTAAGAATTGGAATTCGAAATCCTCTTTGAAGTACTCGTGTCATCAATACAAAGTTAAAGTAAAGAAAATCCGAGACTGCTTCCCAGAAGAGATAAATGGAATAAGCTCGTGCACGCAAAGTTGGAGATCGAAATAAAATAATATTTCCCATGCAGCCAATATTACCTGCCACCAAAAGAAATGAACCGAAGTAGATATTCAACTGATATGATACAGCTATAAGAATACTACTATAACTGCTTGCCGTATCGTTCATTGCTTGAGAATTGATATAAGATACACTGTAACTCAAGGAACGAGACGATTTTATATTTAACTTCGCCAGAAAAATAATGTTAACAGAATCTTAAGAAAAACAGTAGTGTCAAACTTGAAACTTGAATTCAGTTGAAAAGGGAAAATTTCAACTTTCAACTCATAGCGATATATGTGTGAGTCACGATTCTTCAGAATGCTATTGATTTAAAAGTTGAAAATTGAAAATTTCAATTTTCAATTGAATTCAAGTTTCAAGTTTGACATATATGAAGAAAAAAAGACAAGTTTGAACTAGCATGTCTGAACTATTCTTCAGAATGATAGTCATCTACTTTGCTTCTATAATAAGACACTAATCCAGAATTAATTGTTTATGATAAGCGGAATGCCAGTTTGCTGAGACACAGATTTATTGTTAATTGGTAAAACATAAAAACACACATTAATTCATGTAGATTTTACAAACCATTTCATCGGAAATAGCTTTTGGTTTTACTTTATGTTTCACAACAAAGTAAACGTACGAATGATGAATATTATCATAGCTGATACTTACTCAATCAGTTTCCTTTCTTTACCGGCACGGATTCGTAGTATTATTCACACCTTTTGCTGCCCTACTTTCTGTTCCGATTGATACTAGAATATATAGAAAATTCATGGATAGATCTTGTTTGTTACGCATCAAGGCTATTTCCTATTCAAATATTTGTATCAGGTCAGGTACACTTATATCGTGCGAGATTTTCACGATAGTTTCGTTCTTTGAGCTGATAACATGATGTTTTTTTTTTGATAGATAATAAATTGATAAAGATAAAAAAGGTTCATTTGAAAACACGAATTAAAAATAATTTAATAGCTTCAATATCGGCATACTTGTGGCACGAACTAAATAAAAATAGATATAAAATCAAGACTCGTAGACGATTTTTTATTGTGCACATTGAATATAACTTTAAAATATTCAATATTAGATCTATGGAGCATCTCATAAATTCATCTCGATTTATTGGCTCTTGGTGGTCGTATGCTTAAGTTCATTTCAAATTTCGTCTCGTATTCGCAAGATAGACTCCTCGTGACCTTATCATTTTTGTAGGGAATAATATGATATCGCTTTATGAATTTGATACTAAGTTTCTATACGTGTAGTTCGTAAATAAATTTTAATCGAATTGAATTGCATAGCAGAATTGATTTCCTGTTGTCAATCGAAGGGAAAAGATATATCTCCATCGTAACATCAATGCCTACTAGCTCATCTACTTGTTGATCTTGTATATTACTGACTCAATGATTTATCTGCTAACGTTTTTTCGAACTGAACTAATTGAACTTATCTTCAATAGTAGCGTGACCAAGATTTGTCGGGTGGTTGGACTGAGCCCTAATGTTTTTCCAAAAATTTGTGTTTGGTAATGCATAACGTTTTTTTCATAGAATAAGGATAGAATAATGCATTCAGCTTGAAAAATATTTTATTTTAAATGGTGTTTCGTTTGCTTATTAAAAAGAAATAAAGAATCACAACTTGTGATTCTCAAGGTTTTACTGTAAAAGAATTCTACTATTTTTGTGGAAGCAGTATTCCGGTTGGAATTTTTTTCGGATTTTCCCGGTGATTTCCGATCAATTTCTGCCAGAAAACACTGAAATTTGGCAGAAATCCGCCAGAAAAGTCAGGGCGTATTTTTGACCGGAATACTGCTTCCATGTTCCAGCGATTTCCCGTGTTTTTCTGCAGGATATGGTGACTTTCCCACATATTTCCTGGAGTATCCTACGGGATCCGGTGCCCGGAATGTTCGACCTGGACTCATAAACGAAACAGGTATAGTCATAACAGTACACTCTAAATAAAATCCGTTTTCTGAGAAACGAATAGGAGGTATACGGGTTTGTCACTGTATAAAACTCTTTATAGGTTTCCGGGAAAGGGTTTCCGAGCATTTGGAAGCTTATCTGAAACCCTCACAAGCAATCAAGCAAGTTGATGATTCCGAACACCTAATGAAGGTTTCCAATACTTCCGGAACCTTTTAAACGTTTTCCACAGCTACAAACCAGCAACCGATTCACATAGGTATCCGACATTGTCAAATTTGTTTTTCGTTTTGAATAGTATTTTAACAACAGGCATTTAAGGGTTCTCAAATCCATCGTAATCACAAAGTCACCATAGTATAATTCATTTCATAATCCTAAAGGAAGAAAAATAATATATCTTATTAAATAAAACAAAGTCGCCATATTATAACTCATTTCATAAACCTAATGAAAAAAAGACTATATTTGACTGAACAAGATAAGCTCACCAGTTTGTCTTCTATTCGGAAATCTAAATGCAGAAAAAGGATATATTTTATTGAAGAAAGTAAACTCACTGTATTATAGTTCTTTTCATGATGCTTAATGAAAAAGAATATATTATGAAATAAAATGAATATAAAAATCTGTACTTGACATATTTAGAAATATTTCTATTTCAAAATAAAAGTAAGATAAAAATTGGTAATTTATGTATAATCTTTGAGCTGCCTTCTGAAATCATAAAATAAATTCATTCCCAATGTGTGAATACTAAAATATTTGAAACATGTGTTTCAATAGACGGCGGTAATTAAAAAGTGATTTTTTTACAATAAGGATTGACGATGAAGGAATAAAAAGGTAAAGAATGGTGATCATCTGATCATAGAATAACTTCGGTGAGCATTTTAAACAGCTTACTTTTAAAATCGTTAACTATATCGTTATTCGAATTAATCTTATGTAGCCAAACCGAAACATCGTCCACATTCCACATTAATGGATCGAAGTATTCATCTATTATAATAAAAAGCACGATCCTTAGTCATTTTCATGTACTGAGTGCACGCATCTTAGTTTGGATAATAATATGAGAGTGCTTGAAGAGCTACCTTTATTTCTTCTTGTCGTGAATCGAATTAAAAAAATATTTGTGTTTTGGTACATTTGACAGACATGAGTCTTCCTTGGTAAATAAAAATGTATCAAGAGAAAATAAGAAATTGTCGTAAAATATTGGAATTTCATTGATTAATTTGCAGGTGAAAGAAAAGCGTTTTTGACTTGTTTATGAAAGCATAGAAACATTTTGGAGAAGTTAAATAAGAATATACATGAAAAGGATTAAAACAAAATACGCCAATTTTTTCATACATACATGTTAACTTACTCTTTCTAGAAGCTCAATGTGAATTATCTTAGTTAATAAAACTAAATGCATCAAACTATATGATAACTGGCAGCCCCTCATCTTCAAATCACAATTCATTTTACAACAGTTGAAGTAACCAATACTAGATCGCATATGCATGATAAAATATCTCTTTATTAGAGAGGCATTTGCCTTTTTTTTATTCGAAATACAAAATAAGCATACGAAAAAAGAACAAGAACATAACGAAAATAGAATAATACTGGCTCATCACTATTCATGTGGATGCATCTCAAGAATGGTTTTTGCTTCTAAAAGAATAATGCTTGTTTCAGTCTATTAGAAATGGATATTTCCTCATTATTTCAATCATACGATTGTTTATAAAGCTTTTACCTAAATTAGTTAAAAGAATCTTTAAGCATAAGAACTTCCCGTGCTTCACGGCAATGTTTTCACAGATAGTAATGTTCGGATAATGAACAAAACTAAAGTCAATAAAAAAGGAGAAAAACAAAATTTCTAGAATGGAATGGCGATTTAGTGCAGTGCACCAAGTTTCAAAGCAAAATTCGTCATTTAATATATTTACAACTATATACAACTAGGAATGTAAAAATAAGATAAGATTCTCTTGGAAAATAAGAATCGTTCTGAATCTCAAGAATTCTAAAAGTTTTAGAAAACAATTTTGCGTACACTGAAGACGATTTCTGTTATAGCTACCGATTAACTCCTAAGCATGTAAATTATACAGTGGCAACATGAAAATGAGAAAAATGAAATTTTAATACTAGTTCGGTTTTCCACTATGTTTAATGGGTTTCCGAGATATGTTCGGAAAACAAGCTAGTATTCTGGCATACGCTTTCAACGTTTTCGATCCCCAGAAACCCAAAAGGCTCCCGAAAAAAACGTTGTCGAAAATCGATAGGTTGCTGACGACACGCTTTAAATTTCAGACAAGGTTTTCAAAACAAGAACGGTTTCCTAGGATAATTTTTGGGTTTCGGAAATTGTTTGATAGTTTCTGAGAAAACTGTTAAAGGTTTCCTATCCGAATCTTCGAAAACCGAACCGTTTCAGGAGACGCGGAAACCTATAAGGTGATTTCAAAAACTCAGCTTAGAGCCGAAAGCCTTTCCAGATACGTTTGTGAGTTTTTGAAAGGGTTTGCGAAAGGATTTCGGTTTCTGGGGAAACGCTTTTTATGTAGAGTGTACACTGTAAAAAAAACCGCAGAATAAAAAACGAAAAAAGAGTTTATGAAAGTGCAACGTGCAGCAAACCCCTTTCAACCGTCTATCAACGAGTCATAAACCCTGTTACAAACTCCGTAACGAGGGTTTAATACAGTTTATTAACGTTAAATATTCTTTCTGGAAGGTTTATTGAAGGGTTGATAAGATTCATAAATCCTTAAAGGGATTACGACAGGTTGCACTTTCATAAACCCCTGAAAAGGGTATATGATAAAGTTTATGAAGGCGATTCTTGGCCTCAACTATCATTTTCAGGGAGAATATTAGGATATATAGAGTGACTCAAGGTTACAATGAACTGCTTCCAGGGATCGGAGAATAACTGAATGCATGGTTTTTTCACCTTCGTTGATGATAGACACATGTCTATGAAGAGTAATATGCTAAGTTAATTTGTAGTTTTTATAATTTTATGTATCTAACGGTCGCTTTCTATGGCATTTCATAAAGATTAACAAGGATATGGGAGATCCTCAGAGGCTGGAAGAAACCATATCCGTTATTTTCTCTACGTTTTGAGCTTCACATTTGTCGAAACTCTTATTCGATCTT